ATCCATCCATCCATCCATCCATCCATCCATCCATCCATCCATCCATCCATCCATCCATCCATCTCCCTTCCCTTCTGCACCAATTGCTGGAGAAGAGAACAGTCCTTCTTGCCAGAGGCCGGTCCGTGCGGATTGCCGGACGCTGCCCGGGATGAGGCCGAGGGCTCCGGTGGTCCCCTCGCCCCCTCAAGCCTGCCTTGCCTCTCCTAGGTCAGAACTCAGGGTCCCATCCTCACAGCCAGCGGCAAGAATCCGGTGATGGAGCTCAACGAGAAGCGGCGAGGCCTGAAATACGAGCTCATCTCCGAGACAGGCGGAAGCCACGACAAGCGGTTCGTGATGGAGGTGAGGCGCTGGGCCCCCCACCCGCCCGCTTGGGGCTTCATCCGGGGTGACACCCAGCCAGGGTGCAAACTGCTGGTCTCGCTTCCAGGTAGAAGTCGACGGGCAGAGGTTCCGAGGGGCTGGCCCCAACAAGAAGGTAGCCAAGGCGAGTGCCGCCTTGGCGGCTCTCGAGAAACTCTTTTCGGGCCCCAACGCGGCTGCCAATAAGAAGAAAAAGATTCTGCCACAGGTGAGGCTGCTTGGGAGGGCGCCGTGGGAGGGAGGGGGCTGCGGCCTGGGCGACCCAGATGGGTGTGTGCCCCATGCAAGCTTCTGAAGTCAACAGAAGCCCAGAAGGATTGGGAGGGCAGGACTGGGGGCGGAGGAGAAGGGGGAGGCAGATCCAGCTGGGGTGAACTGAGGAAGGGTTTTTGGCAGAGGGAAAACTGGGGCCCTTCAACACAGCATCTTGGGGAAGAGAAAGCTCTTCGCAGGTGTCTTGCAGAAGGAGCCAAGAACTTGGTCCGCCGGTCCACTTATATCGACTACCATACAGGGTTGAGCTGGCCTGTTGCTCTTAAGAGTCTCATTCTCGTAACCGGATCAGACCCTCGTTCAGTCCGTCGTGACAGTCCGTGACCCAAATTCCGCTTTGAAGATGCAACAGACCGAATCTACAGCAGTTGCATCTCTCTCTCTCTCTCTGCCTCTCTCTACAGACCAAAGGAGGGATTGTAAACACAGCCATGTCTGCAGCAGCGCGAGGGAGAGGACGAGGGGCCCCCATGCGTGGGGCGTTTGTCGGGGCAGCGGCGGCGACCAGTTACCTGGCACCAGGTAGAACCAGCCCGGGTTGTTCTGTGGTCGTGACAGGGGAGCACCAAGCCCTGCCACGGCTCGGTCCACACAAGAACGAGGCCGACGTTCCAGGCGTGAGAACAGCTTCGGGCTTCCTCATGGGTGCTGCAGAGCATCCGAGTCCTGCTTAGGCCCTTTGGAGGGAGGAAATCCCGTTTTCAATTAAATTGTGGTGCCCAGATGTCTCTGGTCACCATCCCCAAGCGCGCGTGCATGTGTCTGTGCAAGGATCATGCCCTTGGCCTTCGCCCTTTTCACGTGAGAGAGTCCGTGCCTCCTGGGAAGGGGATGCAGGTTTGCAGCTCATCCTAAGAGGAAAGATGCGTCGGTTTCAACCGAACGGGCACCTTGGTCAGACCCAGAACTGGGGGAGTTTCGCCTTCGGTGGATCTCTTCCTCCTCCCCTCCCCAGCCGAAAGATTCTGCGTGTGCAGCCTCCTTTCTGCACGGGTTTATTCCGCTCAGGCGGTGGGTGGTTGGAACCGCTGAAGGCCTGGGGTTGAGCTGGCCAAGACCTAGCAAGTGGAGCATGATACGCGGAAGAAGAAAGGGGCCCTTTCCCTCCCTCCCTCCCTCCCAGCCCTAGAAACCAATAAACGGAAGGACTTGGGGTGGTCCTGCACCTTCTGGGGGGGGTCTCTTCCAGCCCCACAATTCTGCAATGCTGTCCGTTGCGTCGCGAAACGTCCGCTCTGTTGCTGACCCCGTTCGACGGTTTTAAAAAGGGGAGAGGGAAAAGGATCCATCCCCCCAGCAGAGGGGAGTTCCCTGTCCGAGGTCCAAGGGCAGGCATGTTGGGCACGCCTGCTTCCCCCCCTTCCCCCCATGCCCCCCAGGAGGACCCGTCACCGCTTTCGTGTGCTTCCCTTGCAGGGTACGCGGCACCGTACGGATACAACGCCGCAGCGGCCGCGCCGGCTTACGGTACGTCCTGCCCTTTTCCTTGTCTACTGTGCAGCCGTGTGTAGCTCTACATTCTCAGGCCAGCTTTTGGGGGGGGGGCAACCGGGGGCCTCCTTTGGCCTCTCTTGGATGGCCATCAGCCGAGCCGCTCTCATTGCCGTCACCTGCCTCTCCTGGTTTGCTTCTGCCTGACTGCAAAAGAGCTGCTTGTTCTAACCGCCTGCTCCCCTCTCCTGCCAGAACTGATAGCCCGTCCCCCCGCCTCCTGAACAGCATCTCGTGCTCCATTCAAAGCACCTCGAAGGGCCAAGTCTTTGTTGTAGCGGAGCCTCTTGGCTCCTCCCCGCTCTCCTTCCTTGCTCGCCTCCTTGGGTAGGGCCCTGAGACCCGTGGTCCCGTGGGCTGCCGTCGCCACCCCGGGCCCCCTCCAGGGTGGGCCTTCCGTTGCGACTTCCATCGTCCCCCAGGCTGGCTGGGGGCGATGGGAACTGTCCACCCGCGTGCCTCGAGGGGCCCCGGATGGGAGAAGGGGGCCGCAGCCACACGGCCAGTTCAGTCCTTGGTGTCCGTGGCCCCTCGATGTGGAGGGGAGAGGGTGCCTGGGGGCGGACCCTCGGCTTGCCTTTGCCTGATCCTGCAGAGGCGAGACCCCCAGATTTTAGCTACGGGACATTAGCAGCTTTGCCCTTGTGCGAACAGCAAAACCCCCCAACTCTTCTTCCTCAAAATGGTCTCGGTGGTTCCCCACACCTTGAAGGAGGTAGGGTGCGTCCCAACCCCACGGAAAGCCCACCCGTTGGAATGACTGGGAGCTCCCCAGGTCATCTTTCCCTCCCCAAGCCAACGGGCCAGGGTGGTCTTGCTCCCCACAGGCGCTGCTCAGGTCTACGCTTTGCTCCCCACCCCCCTCAGACCCTTGATTGCCCCTCCCCGCAGCCCTGAACTCAAAAAAAAGCCTCACTTTGAATGATTGGGGAAGAAAAAAAAAAGAAAGAAAGAATTGGCTCTTTGAAGACTTTGAATGTAGTTTTATGCAGCAAAGAGGGGAAACGCAGAAAGGCCTTTGGAGTCAACAATGGCTGCAGCATCAGCTCCTCTGCCCTGGAAGCTTTGGTGGATCCACAGGAGCCATTCCTGCTGGAGGCTGCCTGCTGTGTCTCTGCATGATTTACTGGCCCACTTCCAGCCAGCCTTCGCAGGAGATTCTGCCAAATTTGTGCCCTCAGCATTGCTGGATTCTTCTGGGAGCCTAGCCCCAAAGTCTCTCTCGGTGGAGGCAGCTCCCTTCGAATCCCAGGGAAGCCTGTAGGTTAGCGGAAGGGCCCCTGCTTTGCACGTAGCAGATCTGAATTTCAGGCGCTAAATGGAGCCACTCCCAGCTGGAGTTGCCAGTCCTGGGCCTTGACTTGGCTCTAATCTTGCCATCTTCCCTCGGGAAGAAATAAACACTTCTGCAAAACCAGTTTGGACAGGAAGGATCAGCTTTTCAGGGGCGCGAGGGGTTCCTCTGCTTGGAGAGGCTGAAGGTAAATCGAGGGCGATGGAGCCGGTGCAGGTTTTGACCTGGGAGAAGGTTTTAGTCAAAGTGCCCTGCTGAGAGTCTTTTCTTTGGCCGGCGGTCACTCTTCCTCCATGCATTTGGAAGAAGCTGCGCATGTCTAGGAAAGGAGGGGGCCATGGAGCCTGCGCTCCCCATTTTCTCCCCCAGCCCCCCGCCCCAAATTGGGGCTGTAGGTCTGTAGGTCTTAAGTTATAGAGGCAAACTCTCAAAGAGGGGTCAAGTCCCCCCTCCCTAGAGAAGGCCTTCTGAAGTAGAGCCCCACCCCCAGCACAAGGCCATTCAAGCACGGGCCGGCATCTGGCACCCTTTCCGGCTCACACGTCGTATTAAAAGGCGCCAGCTTTGGTGAAGGACCGCCCCCTTCGTCGGATGCATCTGCAGAATGAGCTGCAGCTCATGAAAGCAGCTGCTTTTGAACAAGATCAGTCCGACGTCCGAGTCGGAAAAGATGCTCCTGGGACCCTCCTGGTTTAGGCAACGGTGCCCCACCACAGCTCTCCTCCCACAGTGCATTCAAGCGGCAGGAGACTGTGGTAGCGGCAGCCAACGGCGCAAAGATAAGAGAAAACGCGTTGCAGGTCCAGAAACGTGGGCGGAAGTCAAACCTGGGGGCCGACGCGCAGCTTTTAGCCTCCTCCCTTCCCTGCTTCCGTCCCGCTGCTGACTAATGCGGTCCATCGCTGACTCCAACAGCTTATGCAGAGAAATGCTGCCCTCTTTCTCTGCATAAACAGTTCTCACCGGTTCTTTCATTGGTTCGTTTCTGTCTTTTGGAAATGTCTGGTTGGTCGCTTGGTCGCTTGGTGGTGGTGCCGAGTCTGGGGACGAAGGCGCTGCTCCTGGCTCCCGGCCGGGCGGACTCCCCTGTTCCTTCCTCTCTTCTCTCTGCCTGCGTGGAGCTGTTTGCATGTTGGAAAAGTTTCACTCTGACCATGTCGATCCTCTTGGAATACCTGCTGTTGCTGCTTTCTGATTTCCAAAACGGACGCGTAGGCGAAACGATTGAGAGAGCGTCCAACAGGAAACCCTTCTCGTTTTGGTATTTCTCTTTTAAACAAAACAGAAGCATCTCCCACAGATTCCTTGCGAGGCCACAAGAATTTTTAAAATTAGGCAAAGAGAGACCTTCAAAACGCCCTCCCCTCCATTCCCACCCCCTGCCGCCCCCCCAGAGGATCCGTCATGCAGGAATAATCGGCCCCTCGGGGGTTGGAGCCATGCTGCGCCGTGCGGCTTTCCTTGCGTGCAGCGCGGTGCGAGATTTGCGAGACCGCTGGTGGTAGCCGGGATCGGTGGCACGGGCCAAGCTCTTGATACCAGCCTCTAAACTGGCATAGCTCACTAAGAGCTAAGCCAGTTCCCCACTAACTTTTTCCCGTGCTCATTTTGAGAAATCTGTTGGGGAAGGAGTTGACCGGTGTTATCTTGGGGATGGTGGCGGAGGGGACTGATCAGGGGACTAGTCTTGTACCACAAACACACCCTATATTCTGATGCTGGGAAAGAACTAGGAGACCAAAGCAATATGGTTTTCTTTCCTTCTCCTCCTCCTCCTCCTCCTCCTCCTCTTCCTCCTCTTCCTCTTCTAGCTTACTTTCTCAGATTGTTAGATTTATCCAAGTCCTCTTGGTTTCTTCCTTCCATAGGTCTGCCCAAGAGAATGCTGCTGTTGCCAGTTATGAAATTTCCCACCTTCCCAATGCCCCATTACTCGTTCTTTTAGCACACGGCTGAGACCAACCCCCTCTTGAGCGACCTCCATATGCAGGACAGGATGTTAGAAGAAAGTGAGGAACAGACACACAGCTAGTCTGCCTACTTTTTAACCCTGGTTTTCTTGGAACACACCCTTGAGCAAAAACCATTTGTAAAGATCCATCTTTCCCCACTTTTTTTATTTTAACAAAATGCAAATTTAGTTCTCTAAAAACTTGAAGACAAAAATACACACGAAACTATGGTCTGTGAAAATGGTTACCTCATTTTTCCCCCCACCCCAAAATAACTTATATCGACCTTCTGTTATAGGGAAGAAACTTAGATGCTTTGTTTTTAACTGGAGTATCCGAATTATGTAAAACCTTAAAACTTGTGAAGGATGTATAGACTATAAAACGCTGATCACAAAATAAAATCAGTTTTTGTTGTAATAGAGAGTTTTTGCCTGTTTCCTAATACAAAGCCCTGGGCCCAGTCTGTCAAATTAGGCTCATGCGATGTAGTGTCTTGTTTCAGGATTTTCGTTTTTTTTAAGGACCGGACGTGCCAGTAAATTTAAGAAAAAGGAAGCAGAATGTGGAAAGGGTTAGTTTGATAACCTAGGAAGTCTCTGTGTTCTAGTTTATTCTTGCATCTTAACGTTAGCTGCGCATTAGGGCTTGGCGGGGTCTCTCCCAGGTTACGTGCCTGCCGATCAGGGTGTTTCCCACGACTCTCTGGGCCCACAACGGGGATAGCAGGGCTGCCCCCTTGCGATCCCCACAGTCCCGCACCTGTGCCTTTCTCCTGAGCACCTGTGCACCAGGATTTCCACTTTGGATTCTCTGCAAGCTGCAGGTTTTCCTCCTCCGTTACGAATTCTTTTGACTTGGAACCCGGTCGGAGGGCTTGGAATTTGTCGAGGGTTTCCGTCCGTTAGGCCCCCGCCCCACGGAAGCAGGAGGCGCCTCTTTGGCGCTAAGCCTGCCAGAATATCCGCTGAGACGGTTTGCAGAGACCCGGGTGCTCCCAGACCGCGAGCTTTTGCCACGCCGTAAAGGCGGTCTGGCAAAGCCGAGGCAGCCCAGCGAAGGTGCAGTTGCTCAGCCTGTAAAAATTAGGTCTTCTTCACTCCAAAGCTCTTAAAAGAAACCAACCTCCAGTAAACGGGTCAGACTCACAGATGGTTCTTGTGGCCTCCTTTTCATAGCCCATTGATGCGCTTTCTCCCCACCCACCCAACGGGGCTAAAAAAGTACGTTCCTCTTCTCGGCAGCCTTGCTTAATTCTAAGAATCTGAAGCAGCAACAGCCCCCATAAAAACTTGCTACTTTACTTGTCCTGGTCTCGTCCAGCACTGCTGTGAATAGTCCACTGTTTCAGCCATAGGCCGGTATCTTCCCTCCTCCTGAATTTCCGTACCCGAACGGCCGTTGTTCACGCTGTGGGCGCACCCGCACGTCTCTCTTCCTCCCTCGGCTCTGCCGGGGGCACGCCCGCTGTTCTGGGGCGCCCCTAAGAAATTAGGGGACGTGAACGAGGAGACGACGGTTGGCGATTAAGGCATCGCCTCCCGCCCACCGCAAGCGACGCTGTGGCTCTTTTCAAAAGTCCCCCACCTGTGGTTCCCCTTTCAAGCGCTGCCCCTCCGAGGAGGCTTTGGAGAGACCTTCCGGGGATCCCGGGCAGGAGGCTGCTCAAAAGGGGGAGAGGGGGCGAGGAGGGTGAGCCCGAGCGCCAGGCGGGGAACGCGGGCCCCGAAAGCAAGGAACCACAGCTGGTTTTGGAAAGGAGGAAGGAAGACGCAGCAAACGCGGCGGTCGCTGTGCTTCTCGGAATGTGCATTTCCAGTCGTTCGTGCCCGTTTCCCTTGGTGGTGTAGCTCCCCCTCGCTTGCCGTTCTGGGTGGTGATGCTTTAATCCAACCTGGGGGCCCTTTGTCGGTCAGCGCAGCACACAACTGTTGTCGGTCCTGTGTATTTCTGCGTCTGTTTGTTTCTTAAAAGGGGGCGGGAGGGTGGCCCCCCAATGCTGCGTGGGGCGTTGTCTTCCATTCGAGAACAGTATTGGCCTATGGATGAAAAGGAGCCATCATGGAGCTTGGAAAAGCATGGCGGGTGGAGCACTCAGAGGATCCGATATCAATTCGTCCCGTGCAATTGGCGGCTGGATCGATTGTCCAGGGTGGCGGTTCTGTGGAGGCCGTGAAATTCTTTAAATCCACGTCAAATATCTTGCCGAGCCCAAAGTTACGGAGGAGTTACTTCCCCGAGCGGTCCTCTTGTGGCTCTCTGGAGCGCGATGCTCTTTTCCAACGCGATGGCACTCATTTCCAATAATTGGTATGAAGTCATTTTCCCCCCTCTCCATTTATTTTTGTCATGTTGGGAGTTACTAACCACGTCGTAACCTTGCCCTGTTGCTGCATATTTTATATTTCTCTGCTTTACTGAAAAACGTTAATCGGCTATCTTAGCTGTTTTTGTTTTCAATAGCTAGATAAATCTTTGCCTATTAAGATAAAGGAGCGAGTGCATTTGCAAGTGGCTAGAAACCTTTTGCTTGGTACCCCCCGTGCACCCCTTTTGCAATGGAAACTCCACCCACAGCTGGAAAGAGCAGAGAAATTTAAGCAGCCTCCCCGTTTTTGAAAATTAACCTGCCCTTTTCTTTCTCTCGCCTCTCTGCTCTTTCCCATGCTGTAGGTGGCTGTTTCATTGACAGTCCTTACTGCCAACCACTTGACGTCATGCCTTTTATCATTCACTTGGGGCCTCAAGAGTTCTTCTCTGACTTCTAGAGCAAACGGGTTGCGCAGCTTGAGAAGGTGCTTTTTCCACAAATGAATTTTCAAAGCAAGAGCTAACTCAGACTCGGGGGGAGGGAGGGCTTGTTTATACGGCTATTTTAAAACCCTTCGGCTTCCCCGAACACCCCGAAAGCAATAGGTGACGTTCACCCCCACCCCGGCTCTTGGAACCACAGCAATAATTGTACAGTAGAGTCGCCACGGGGGCTCTCCTGCTTTGCACTATGGAACAGACGTCGGAAACGTACTTCGGCAGTAGCCCCCCGTCCCGTTGAACTTAGCTAGCTCAACGCCTCTCTTAGCCCATGAAGACATGGCTGGGCGTGTTTGAGACAGGCAGGGTGATGTTGGGATTCGAGCCATAACCTCAACATCCCGCTGGTGGAAATGCTTTAACAGTCAGCCCGGGCACATGGCGCCATGCGACTTGCTTGCCGAAAGGGCGCCCTCGATGAGGTGGGCTTTTTGAGTGAGCATCGTAGGATGAAGCCCAACGGGAGCTGCTCTTAGGAAGCCCTGCCAAGAAAAGGTGAGAGGAGGATTTGGCCCGGAAGAGCGGGCCCCGAGCCACTTTGTGGAGGGGTGGGCTTGGGACCAGCAGAGTCGTAGCACGAAGGTAGAGCTACCTGGGAGGGGAAGGCAGAGGCCAACTGGGAGCAGAGTTGTGAAAGGCTCCTTGGTGACCCTCGGTGTGGGAGAAGATGCCACGGATTGTGCCTTCTGCTCCCAAAGGCGGGTGGCCTTCTGCCTGTGACCGTTTTGCAGCAATTCTGTTTTCCATTCGCCCCAGAGCTGCATCCGGAGACATTTGTGTGTAAAATAAGCTGAAATGTAGCAGCTGTAAGCTGAGGTCGTGGTGCCTGGAAGGGGTGACCAGCTAAGCACATCTATTTTCAGCCTAGAGAATATTTCTGTCGCTGCGTTTTCAGACCATGCCGCTATCTTGCAACATCTTCGTACGTATGCCAGTTTTTCTTCATGTCCTTCTCTATACAATGTGATGTAAATATTTAGGGGGACACACTGGATTCTGAAAAGGCTTCCTCGGACTTTGGGGGGGAAGTATATTTATTGGGTTAAAGACCAAGGAAGCTGTGTCGACACTTTCCAGCTCAGCAAAACTAAGGTTGGGGAACATTTAAAAACCAAACGTTGTGCATTGTCTTTAGTTTATCAGCAAGCCCAACAGGGCTATCTGGGCTTTGCCTGCTGTAAAATTCAGGTGCCTGTGCTGCAGAAGGCTCTCCCTGAAGAGTCTTGTTGAGTTAGGGTAGGACAAAGCTGTCAGAAAAGCACCCAAAACTGACTTCCAAATTTGGCGCCTCGGCACACAGCTCCCCGAATTCTCAGCCATCGTGGCAGAGGTTTCTGAGAGCTGAAAATTCGGGATGCGAACAGGGAGCCAAGTTTGGAGCGGCTGCTCCAGGTCTACTTTTTGCTCCTGGTTCAAGTTTAGGTGCCACATTTCGTGGGTTGAAGTGAGGGTGGGAGGGAGAACAGGTTTTCCACAGACTTGGTGGTGGGGTATACAAGCCATTGACGGTCCCGGCTGTCCAGCTGGGACTGAACACCAACACATTGTTAGCCTGAAGAACAGAAGAGGACAACCTATTCTAATGCTTCCAAATAAGATATTAATGTTTTCCTATCGATGATTAAAAATTGATCTCTCAACTGATGGGCTGATCTTTTTCTTTCTTTTAAAGATCTACCTTAACGCTTAGAATCAATGGACATCCAGCTATGAATAGAACAAATTAATTCTTATGGCTGATTTGAAAGGGTGGCCCTTGGAATGAGTCTTTCACTCCACATTAAGAGGTGGCGGATGAGAAATAGCCGTGGGCAAAGGGTTTTAGTATCCCAGCACGCTGTGGGAGGGGAGAAACGGGGGCCGCATTGGGGTTTGTGCTTAAAATTCCATCTTGGAAGAGTTCTAGATCCAGAAAAACACAGGTGAGTTCCTAGTCGCAGGGGGGTTGGCAGTAGATGGATGGTCTCGTTAAGGTGGCTGAAAATGGACCCCCTTGCTCCCCAATGTCCACGAGCAACATCTGTATACCTCTGCCAGAGACTGAGAAGGAAGACCATCACCTACTGCGGGTGGCCCAAATGGCTTGTCCCTCCTCTGGACGTCTGCTGAGGATATGCTGCTTTGTCGTATCCTGCAAAAAGCTACGCTTTTCCCCGACGTAAGCTTGGGTTAGGGCTTTGAAGGAAATGGAAAAGGCTGCCTAGTTTTCAAGCAGCGTCCCCCGTACGCCCGTTCCTGGAGCGTCTGCCCGAGAAGAGCCACGCTGTAACCTTGGCTCGCCTGCTTTGGCTGAAACATTGAGGGTTGACAAAGGGCCTTTCTTTCCTCCAGCACGTCATGCTCCAAAGCCTGCTTTTCTTTCTCGGTTACGGGCTCGCGTTCCTGGATGCAGTGCTTTTCTTCCCCCTCCCTTTGTGAAAGACAAAGAGGGAAATATTTTTGCTGGTCGGAGCCCCACGTTGGAAAAGGAAAAGGAAAAAGAGGCGGTAGGCTTTCCATTCTCAGCGGTGCCAGGCAAGCCAAGCAGGAACGGCTGCCAGAAAGGATGGCAGGGTCTCAAACCAAAAGGAATTGCTCCGGGTTTCAAATACCGACAGTTCACCTCTTCTCGTGGAAGCCCCCTGCAGAGAGAGACGAAGAGCGCAGTGCCTTTGGAGTTGAAAAAGCCAGTGGGCAGGTGATAAAGGAAAAGGGTTATGTCTCCGTTTCAGTTCCACGGGGGAGCAGGCTTACGCCACGGTCCCGGAGCCGAGCTGCAGGTGAGACCACGCCAGGATCGGTTCCACCCTGTTTATCCCTGGCAGATACTTTTTTCCCCGGGAAAAATGTGGAGTGCTCAGAGGTAGGCTGAGCATGGCTAAGCATCTCGTGTTTAAAAGAAGATCCCCGTTTTAAGTCACCGTTGGCCTGGAAGGAAGCAGCCGCAAATCTTTCCACGCACCCCAGCCCGGGTTAGGAGTGGTGTGAGCTCCAAGTGTGTTGCACAGCCCTCCCTTGTGGGGTTGGAAAGGTTTCCTGCCTTGCTACCTGTGTGAAATAGGCTGTTCTAGGCTAAAGAGCACCTCGGGGGCCAATTTTCCCAGCTGTTTCTCCTGTCTCGCGAAGTCGTGCTAGAATTCCACTTTTTCCAGTGAATTCCACAGCGCTGACGATCGCTGGGTGTTTGTAATTGGCACAGGCGAAAAGCGTAATAGTGGTAGTAACAATGATGTTCTATTAGGCATCTGCGTGCTATTACGGTTGCTGCCTAGTTCTTAATGGAATCAGTGCGCTGGGCCAGAGGCCTCATTAATTCCTCTGTCGGGTAAGATCATGTTTGCTTTGCAAATATCCTGTTCCGCTTCTTGAAAATATTTCCCCCAGCTCTGCCACCTGGCAAGGTCAGGGCCCCACAGAACACCAGGGCAGGGCTGCTTGGGGGCTTGGTGAGAGAGAGACACTCCTGCCAGTAGGACGCCACATTGCCTGCGGCACCCGCAGACGCTCAGCACTCCCCGTGCACAGCACCCCCCGTCTCCCAAACTGGCAGCACTCCTGAGGGGCAGGCTGCGTGGCCACGCGCTGGGCTGGGCAAACGCCACCGTCTCCAGCCCGGCGCGGCCATTGGGAAAGCTCGCCTGGGAGGGAGGCGGCGTCTGCTCCAGTGCAGAAGGTTCAGAACCAGGAACTGGGAGTTTGTTCGGGTGAGCGAGTTGCTTCCAAAACAGCCACCCCTTTCGCACAGCCTCTTCTGCAGGCAAAAGGGAGCAAGGGCAAAGAGACACTCGTGGAGGGGAGGTATGGCGCTGAAGGCAGAATGCCCCCTTGGTGCAAGGTCTCACCTGCCCATTCTGCAAGGAAAGAACAGCCCCGCTGCGACATTCCCAGGTCTCCCCTTGCTTGGGAACCCCTATTCCCAGCAGCACAGCATCCAGCTTCCTGCCACTGGACTGTCTCGCGATGTCGGATCCTTCCTCCCTGCGCTGCACGTATGGCAAGCTATTCCTGGGTCTGCTGTATTTCCCACCCACCCCCAAGAAAGAAAAACCATGCCAAAAGTCGGTCGCCGCTTTAGACATGGGCCGGGCCTCGTCCCCCGCAGGCAGCGCGGTGCAGCGCAAACCTGGGAGCGTGTCCCTTGCGAGAGGCTTCCGACCCCTTCTGTTCTCTCCGGCACAGCCGTGGCTGGTGTGCTGGAGGCCTGCCTGTAGAAGCCGAGTGCCTGAGCGCCTTCTCTGCACGCGGAAGGCCTGACCCGCAGCATCTGGGCTCACAGCCGGCTCCCCGACATCCCGAGGGCCGCCGCCGCCGCCCAGCCAGCGCAAGCAAGACGTGCTAGCCGGACCGCCCTCCAACTCAGGGTAAGGCTGCCTCCTGCTGTCCGCTCAGAGAAGGCCGATAAAGTGAAATAAAGACCACCACGGGTAGCAATACAATTTTACTAGTTTATATATCAATCCAAAATTCTACGCACTGCAACTATTCTACGACAACGTCCACACGTTTTTATTATCAATGGAGTTACAGTCATTTTTTTTTGTTTTGTATTATTAAACAATAAAGGTATTCATGTATACAGTTAAGGGGAGAGAAATCATGAATGCTCGGGCATCGCCTGGCCTCACCTCTCGTCTCAGTTTTGCGTTAGCTAGCATTGGTCTGGTCAATGAGAAAAATAACTCAGAAATAAAAATTATCTTTATATACAAACCAGTGCCTCTTATTGTTACCAGCCTATGCTCACGCGCTGCACGCAGTAAGTTGATCTGCTGATAAAACTGCTTTTTCAGCATAGAACAAACCAGTATAAATTAAAAAGGTGCAAACCCCGCCCCGCCCCTCCCCTCCATTCTGCTGCTTTTTTTTCAGCATAGAACAAACCAGTATAAATTAAAAAGGTGCAAACCCCGCCCCGCCCCTCCCCTCCATTCTGCTGCTTTTTTTTCAGCATAGAACAAACCAGTATAAATTAAAAAGGTGCAAACCCCGCCCCGCCCCTCCCCTCCATTCTGCTGCTTTTCTGCTGAGAAGTTTGGATACTCTAAGCACTCAGAAATCTAAGTAGCGTTAATCCCTACTAGTGTAGTTACGAAAAACGTGGCGTGACGACGGGGGGAAGAGGAGGAACGGAGAGTCGGCCCAGAAAGGTGAGTTTAGCAGCAGCAGCAGCAGCATCCTCCGCAGTCAAAACGAAGCTCCGTCTCTCTCCCCCCATCCCGCTCGCATTTCTCCCGTCTGCTTTCAAACGCGTTCTGCAAGCAGAAAAACTCACCGCGGACCAAAACAGAGAGAGGCTAACTAGAAGTAAAGGGTTCCCGTGCCGAGGGCCGAGCTGCTGCTTCAGAACGGAGGCTGGGCTGAATCCTGACAAAGCGGAGCCTTCCCGAAATCGGTGGGCAAAGGAACGGTGGCTCGGGCCGTCTTGGCTTCGACGGGAGCCGAGCTTACGAGCACGAGCCACGTGTAAAAAACAGACCCTGATGAAACGGTGCTTCTCCTCGGCTTTTGTGGAGGAGGAAGAGGGCTCCCCAGCGGAAGGAGTTGTCTTAAAAAGCCCCCGCCCCGCCAAGTTGCATAGAATTGATTAGTGACAGAGAACTAAGCACTGGGACGGACACAGAGAGAGAGAGAGAGAGAGACAAGGGTGGGAACGCACAAACATCTGGGAGGGGGTGAGTCCCGTTTCCGAAAGAGAACCATGCAAGCCCCTGCCTGAAGGAGTGGGAAACCATTCACTCCCTGACGCTAACCTTAACTTTTCGTTAAAGAGTGGTGGAGGGGTTTTTTCTTTGTTTGTTTCCTTTTCTTCTGTTCAAATAAAATCTTTTAAAAAGTTGTAACTGTAAAAAAAAAACAAAAATAAAACGCTCGTTTGTAAACTCAATAAGTTAGAGATTTTGGTAAATTTTTCGTACCTAGGCCTGCAAAGTGCCTCCAAACGGACTGCAGAATGGAGTGGATATTGTTCTTCTCTGGGGGGAAAAAGCATTGGACTACAGCTACGCCCTCTGGTTAAATAATCAGTAGTATGGAGATCCCGCGTCTCGCTACAAGCCTCGCGTCCACCTTGGGTCGCTGACCTGCGGAAAAGCCCGCCGTGCGGGGTGTTTCTGGAGTCCTATGTACACTCTGGTCCTCTGTCCTGCGGGGCAGCCGGCCGAGGCGGGCTCTGGAAGGCAGAAGGTGTCCCGGGGGGGCCCCAGGAGCCCCCGAGGAGGTGGCCAGCCAGCTCTTCAGCACGTCTCCTTCCCTTGGACGCCGGTCACTGTCTTTATGGAGCTCAGCGTCCGGTTGAACCAAGTCTTCCGAGAAGCCTGCACCTCGTTCAGCGCCTGCCCTAAATCGTGCTCAAGGTCCTGAAAGGTAACCAGGTGGGATGAGCGTCAAGCGGAAGGGAGGGGGGTGTCTGCCAGCCAGCCAGAAATGGATCAGGCATGCCCCTGGACCCCTACCAGCCTCGCCCTCAGTTAGGAAAGCAAACCTGCCTGCTCCCAGATCATCTGTAAAGTAAATATCCTCAAATATCTACCCCCTTCGCAAAACTCGCCACTCTAGGCGGCCAGCCTCCTGTTGATTTTAAAGAGGTCCAGATGGCAAAGAATTCGTAAAGGCGCCTGATTTCCAAGCATAAAACTGGAATGGCAGAAGCCCAGAGAGACGTGCTAGGCCAGCGCAAGGGCTGTCTCGATCAGCCTGCGTCCCTCACTGGGCGTCCAGGAAGCCCTCAAGGGCGGCAGAAAGAAAAGGACTCCAAACCTCGATGGCCCATTCCGAGAAGCTGTGAGCCTTCATCTTCAGGGCCCAACTAAGGAATTATGTCAGAAGAGAGATCCGATCCTCCTGTTTCTACATTTCCCGTGGAGGCAGAAAGCTCTGGCTGGGCGTAACCCTGGTGGCCAAGCACCACCATCGCTCACCTGGATTTTGCATTCGGCCTCCACCAGCTGCAGCTTGGTTTGGGCCAGTTCCAGCTCCATTTCTCGCAGCTGGTTCTTCAGCACTTCCTTCTCCTCGTCGGTGTCTTCATCGGAGCCCTCCCTGGCGATGCCGGCCACCTTCACCCGCCCTTCTTTGTTGAAAAACTCCCGGCAATGCTCGCAGTCGTCGACTTTTTGCTGTGCCCAAGAACACTGGACTGTGAATGTCTCTCCTCCACTCAGACGCCCTGGCGTCTGCTGGGGCAGCCCAGGTGGCTGGCAGCAGCAGAAAGGGCCTCACGCTTGCGTGGCACTGCCCCCCCAAGGCCAACTGCAAGACTGGTCTGTCGAGGCTGAAGCTAACAGCTCCACCCCAGGTCAAAGATTTGCAGGTCTGTCTCTCTCTGCAACCTGAAGCCCCCCGCCTTCCTTTAGCGAAGCAGGAGCAGAGAGGGTCTTCCCGACAAACAGCACGATGCAAAGAGTTCAAGAGACACGGGTCCAGAATGGGCGCCAAAGGCAGGGAATCGGGAAGACGTCCCCAGCCTGCCACGGAGGGCTGTCCTCGCGCTCCCCACCCCAATCCTCCCCACCCCATGCTTTGCACTGCCTCTACTTACCCGCATTTTCTCGATATCAGCTTTATTGGCCACCTGCTGCTTCTCCAGCCTCTCGCTCAGTTGGGAACAGATCTGCAAGACAGTCCGGAGGGGTCAGCAGCACCCCACCCACCCAGGTAGGGCCTCTGACCCCTTGCCCTGCTGCCCACGCTGGCCACTTGCCCTTCGTAGCCTGTCCCCCCGATTCTCTGTGCTTCTAAGCTCTCGCGCCCAAAGGGCCTGTGCTACATCTAGCGACAGCAAATTCGTAACTACGAGCTGCAGTTCCTTCGGCCTGGCCCAAACCTTCCGGAGCGTAATTTCAGGAATCTGGGTTGCTTTACTTCTTAATCTAAGAAACCCAAGTGATTTGGCTTCTCTTCCTAACGGAGGGTGAACCTCAATCATTTTGGCAGCAACCCCATTCTGTTTCCCTTTTTGAGGTGAACCAGCAGGATGGCTCCCTCCCTGACGCTCCCCCCTTGGGTTGGTATAACAAGGCAGCAGGCGGTAGATGCAGCTGTTCTGGCCAGGAGGGGCTCAGCTTCATCCCAGCCTCCTCCTCCTCCTCCTCCTCCCAGTAGCCTGGAGGCCGCTTTCTCCTGCACACCTGCTTATAGTCTCCAATGATAGAGCTGTTCTTCTTAATCTCCGACTCGGCCTTGTCCAGTTCCCGGCGGCACATCTCCTTCAGCTTCAAGAGAAGACAGGAAACCCGGTCAGTCACCCCCTCCACCAGGGCCTCCCAGCGCACCACGTTCCCCTCTGAGCCCCAAAGCCACTGGGGAGGGGGGGACGAGTCACAAGAGAATGCAGCAGAAACGCCAGGTCCAGCGGTCTGGGGAGCTTGGGGCAAGGACATACCATCCTGGGACACCACTGCTCTCTCTCTAATGGGGATGCAGGAATGCGGCAGTGGGGGTAACACAAAACAGCTGCAAGAGAACCCTCCCAGACCAGAGTTGGTGGAGGTTTTCTGGGAAGAAAAACCAAAGCCACCGATTCAGGGTGCTTCCGTTTTCAGCTGGGGTGGCTCTGGGATGCTGAATGGCAGGAAGGATCGCCAAAAACCAGAACCAACCACACTCCCCTCCCACGTCCTGCCCATCTGGCTCCCCTCCACCCCGATCCTGCCCTAACCTGAGCTGATTCCTCCTCTAGCCTTCTTTTTTCATCCTCGGCATCTATCAGCTTCTGCTTGGTCATCAGCAGCTCCTTGTTCAGAGCGTCAGCTTTTTCCTCTGCCTGGAATGGGAAACACCACCAGCCCAATGACCCAGGCCAAGGTCCAGTTTGAAGAGGGGAAACTCTACTCGGCTCTTGGCCAGGCACTGCCCCCCAAACTGAGCGAGAGAGGAGGGGGGGCGCTCTGAGAGTCGAGCTTGGGTTTTGCGTCACTATGTTCCAAACCGAGATTTAAAGATAATGGAGAGCAGGGTAAAATAAGGAAGCTGCAGACCCAATTCTTAGAGAAGAAAAGGAGGGGGCTCACATGCGTCTCAGGGTCACCAAGACCCTCTAGCCCACCACCCTGCCAGACTGGTAAGAGAGCCTGCTTGCTCATGTGGAAGGCTTCCTGCCAGAACAGGTCTCTTGGGTTTTCTGCCTAGGAAGCAAACTAGAAAGCTGTCACAATGGCATCAAATCCTACGGTTCTGGTGCTCTGTGGGCATTTAGCGAGAAGAGAATGGCAAGACCCTGAGCTGAATCTTGGCCTCGAAGAGGGTTGTGACTGGGGTTTCGTATGTCAGAATCGTAAACCAGGATGATGTTCTTGCTCCCCCAAGCCAGGAGTGCTCCGAACACTTCCCAAGCCTCGTTTGGTGAAGCCTCAGCCTCAGCGGGAGGATCGATCCCTCACCATGCTGGCTGGGCTGCCTGGCATGTCCTGGCACATGAATATGGCAGGGCTGGGCCAGCTGGGGCAGTCTAAACAGCCCAGCCAAGGCAGCACAAGCATTTAGGAAGCGGCCCCAGAAGAGCTCAGCCAATTCTAAGAACCTCCTGCCAAACTGGTGGAAAGTTAAAGAAAAAAGAAGAAGAGGTGGATGATTCTGAACCAAGAGGCTCTGCCCTGGAAGCTCTCCTCCTGCGTGCATGCACAAGTCTCAGAGCCAGTGTGAGAGGCACTTCTCGTAAGGCCACAGAAGAGGAGGAGAGAAAGTGGAGAACAGAATGGGCAGAAAGAAAGGAAAATAAACGATTAGAACATGCACGTGTTCGAAGAAGATGCCCAGGAAAATTCTGCTTCCCCAACAGGCAAAGTTGTTCCTGTGCTGGAAATGTCAATGGCCCCGGGGGGGAGGGGGGAGAACCCTTACGTTGTCCAAGTCCTTCCGCAGGGCGATCTTGCTGGTAACCAGCTCGTGGGCCAGGTCGTCATTCTCCTGTTCCAGCCTCATGTTTGCTTCCTGCAAGCGCCGGTTTTCTCGCTGCACGGATGCCAAAAGGGGCAGGTGTTAACCCCAAACCGATGCCACCCCCTTTACAAGGATGCAAACGCACAACCCCCCCAGACGTCGAGGGGAAGCTGTGCCTAGATGAGCTGTTTGCAGAAACTCTTCACACACACACACACACACACACAGAGGCCAGGATGTTGTGTGTGTGAATCAACAGCTCGCATTCAGTGACCTAGTCAGTGTCCTGGTTTGGGGGGAGTGCAGCATACAAATTCAGCCAACAGGGTATGTGGTCTCCTTCGAGGGGGCAGATGATGAACTCCCCAAGGCTTCCCCTCAGCTATTCACTCCCAGACCAGAATCCCCAACCTCAGTTGCTGGCAACAGCATCCATGCTGGCTCCATCAGACTTCCACCCAAGGATTTTGTAAGCTGACCAGTCTCTTCTGGAATGGGCAGTCATCATAAATCCAATAAATTAAATTAAGACTTGGGCTCTTCGGAACGTGTGTTCCCAAGCCAGTAGTCACTTGGGCTTGTCTGTCCCTGCTTTCATAATAAAAGAATCTCTCGGAAATTAAAGCAGCTGAAAACAGCCATGGCAACTAAGGAGTGCCCAAATATGCAGAAACAGCTCTCGGCCTGTTCTGATTTTGGAGGCCATATGAGTGAGGCCCACGAATGTTTTCAGAGGAGGAGGAGAACAACAAGGTCGAAAAGATAGAGAAGGCGGCCTCCCCCGTCTACTGGCAAGGGATCACTGGGAAAGTGCTGAATCGGATGCCCTTCAAGATTCTTAGCTGGAACCTCAACGTTTTTGTTGCAAAGAAATTGGTTTATTTTGCAACGGGAATGGAAGGCCTCGGACTAGGTTCAGGCTGGACCCAATCTGCGGTCTTTCTGCTACCCCCTAGAAGAGCCTCGAAGGGGCATGTCTGAGGCAGGAGAGCATTACCTCAAACCTTTCTATGGGGTCCTCCTGCTGAGCCTGTTGCTCCCGCATCGTGTGATATTCTCGCTCATATTTCTTCAACTTCTTTTGGCTAATCTTAAAAAAAAATATATTAGAACTCCATCAAGATCTTTTTTACTTACTTATTTACTGAAGAGCTGAAAGTAACCAGAGCAAATTAGAGAGGACATGAGAACGGAGACAGGAAAACTAGCAAAATATAAACAGTAAACGGCACACTCGGGAGAAATGTTTGCCACGGCTCACGGGGGAGAGCTGAGCTTTTCCAAGATACCAACTCTGAGAATTTAGCATAAATATAGGCCGCTAATCTCCACTAAAGATTTCAGCCTGAGCAGGAAGGGATGCAGACGCAGCCTATCCCGAGAAGAGGAACCTCGTGCCTCGAAAGCTCTGCCCAGTGCAAGACACTGCTCTACCTGAGCCCAAAAAACCTGCCTTTGCACATTGCTTTTGCTGTGGATACCACCTCAGAGGCCAGCCGCAAACCCTTGCAGAGATTTTGGAGGATGGCCTCTCACTGGAGGAGCTTTCAGGGCTGAGGGTGCTCCTGAACCCAGATCTCCCAACTCCTAGTCATCAATACCTTCACCGCTGTGCCAAGAAACAGGGCAAACCAGGGCGGCAGAGCCCATGCCAGGGACCGCAAGGCTCGGCCCCACCTGGCCTCCTGTGTGAAGAGATGCTAAAGCCGGGCCAGAAAAGGGGTTGTGTGAAAGTTGTCCTGGTGCTCCCTCTAGTGACCCTGAGGCAGAAGAGCTACCCAGGAGCGTGTGGGTGAGTGTGTGTGCACACGCACGCACAGAGGGGGGGAGGATGCAGCAGGATTCCTCTTTCTGCTCTTCCAGTGTAACGCTGCCAAAGAGCAAGCCGCAAAGCAACTCCCAAGGAGAGAAGTTAAGATCTCATTAAGTGCTTTTTGTTTTTAACAGTCCATCAAATCAGGATGAAAGGGACGGTGTACCCATCACGGGAGTCATCAGGATGGGGCTGAGGAGGGAGGAGAGAAAGCACCCTCAACTGGGGCTGGCGAAATAGGCCTGCTCGAAAGATCGAGGTTTCCCCAGGCGTGCTCGGCCCTCCTTTCTCAGTTCCATGGGAGGTCACGTTCACACGCGTTTCAACCGTTTGGAAAGCGGGAAGGTTCCTGTCTTTGGCTCATCCATCTTGGTTTAGTTCCAGACACGACCCAAGGCAGATAGGGCTGACTCAGCCTGCTGTGCCGTGGAACAGCCATGTTGGAAGGAGCGCTTCCAAGACAGAGAGGCTGTCAAGAGTACCGAGATGCTGCGGCAGAGTTCCAGCCCCCTCCTCGGAAGAGACGGAGATCTTCCGCCTCCTCCGGGGCTGGCCGGTTCCACCCAGTTACCTTCATGCTGCACGCCAGCTCCATCAGTTTCTTAGCGTTCTCCTCCGAGCGGTATCTCTTAGGCAGCTGCACCCGGAAGAATTTTAAAGCCCCCTCAAAGTCTGTCAGCAGCAAGTCATCCTTGGTTGTCTAGGAAAATGCAGGGGGGGAGAAGTTGTGGGGCTGGCAAGTCCTTTGGCTCCTCCACCTCCACCCCAGAACGAGGCAAGGAACAGCCTTTTGCCTCCCTTAAGGGAGGACTCAGAAAACAATTTAGCTTCGCTCTTTTAAAAGCATGCACATCTTTTCCACCTTACAGAGCGCGAGCCGCACAAGAAGAAGAGCCAGGAAAATAGCAAAATTGCAACGGGTAGAGATGGAAGCGTCTTTCCGAGGAAGAAGGGAAGCATTTGACTTCTCCCTGGCCTTTTCTTTGGAGCATAAAACTCTTACAGAAGATTCTTGAGCCAATTTAGAGAACAAGGACCTCAGCCTCTCTGTTCCCCCCAGCCTTTTTCCTGATTCGGTTTGGTATTCTAGTTCTTTTCTGCAACCCGCATGGGAGAAGGACCTGAGTATCCCAGGCATATTAGCCGGCTCACGCTTCCTGAACTCCCTCATCCTCTGGTTAGCTACTGCAACTTGGGCCTGAAATGATTTCACTCCCCAAGGAATTCAGATTCCAGCTTTCTCCGCTCTGCCTGCCTTGTGGGTGTGGGGCTCAGCGGGAATGAGGTGATTGGGCACGGAAAAGGAAGTACTTACTTTTAACAATCCAAGTGCAACGTTAAAAATAACACTGATGCCCTGTAAAAGAAAGAAAGAAAGGACAAATGCCTACAGGTTACAGTGTCTTGAGATTTCTGTAAGAGCTGGTTCAGCTGGAAAAAGCCACAGAAGCCGCAGACGTCCAGGAGACCCAACGTTGCGGCTTCTCCCAAGCTGTGCCCGCCCATCGCGTGGGCAACACCACTTGAGAAAAAAATTCCCGAAGAGGTGAGGAAGGTCTAGGCACCAGCTCTGGGCAAGGAATGCAGATCCTGTTTAGGTTCCTTTTCCTCACTCTTGTCAGCCAAGAGGTCGGAATGAGTCGGGTGCCAAATCAAGGGCCCACCCGTGCTCCCCTTGGCTGTCTTCAGCACCAGGCAGGGCTGGGTAACACCCAACGCCCCCTCAGGGAAGGCAGCTCCAGCCGGGAGAGGAAGAGAACAAAGCGATCTTTCCGTGAAAGGGGCACAGCGGAAACGTGCTGTTTCACGCTAGCAAAAGGAAGGTCCAGTGGGAATTAATAAATGTTGCAAGAATTAGCAAGTGAAGAAATTTCAAACTGCCTCCTGGGCACTGCAACTTGGCCAACGTCGTCTTTGCTTGGCTCTCTTCTCTGGCATGTTGTTTATCTTGACTCTCCCGAATAGCAAGATTTACTCTACTGGGTTTATTACGTGGGAACCTAAAAGCAAGTCAACGTTTGGACCTTGAAGCCTGGAAGAGGGACGCTTTTTCAAGTTGCACTAAGGCGTCCCCTCATCCCCAAGTCCTTTGAAGAGAACTTGAGGGAAGGGACGTCTGTCTTGAGAAGAGCAGAGTAAAGGGCGGGGGAGAGTAAAGGCTGGAAGGACCCCATGCAGAAGGTCAAGATTCCCTTTGCCATTATCCCCAAGCAGAGGGAATGAAATAATGATCTTAAAAGGGACAAGAAGGCAGATTCTTGCCTTGAGAGTGGAGGCAGTTACTCAGAGAAGAGGTTGGATGACTTCACGCACAACCTGGTCAGCCTACCTATCAGGAACGGCTCCCGGACTGAGACAGGCTCAAAGGCTTTAATTTTGATCCCAGGGTTTCCTCAGTGCTTTCCATAAGGGTCAAACTGCAACTCCCGTTTGGCTGGGAATGTGGGGTCCTGCAGTATGACGCAATAGAAGGGCACCAGGTTGAAGGTGGCTGGTGTGCTCTACTGGGTTAGGCTGGCAAGGAGATGCCCGGGAGTAGGGCCTGTCAGAAGAACTATGAAGACCCACCTTGCTGTCTTCATAGTGGTTAGGATTTGATCTCCGAGGGTGGCTAAACGCTAATTGCTCAGGGGCATTTTTATTTGGAAATGGCTTCCCGGGTTCTGCCCCAGCTGCCCAGTGACCGACATTCAAAACTTTCCGGGCTGGCTGAATCATTTCCTTCCTGCAACTCAGATGGCTCATGCACAGCCTCTGAGAGAGCCTGAAATACAAAGCGGGCCTCCCTCGCCAGCAACCGGAGCTTTGGATCACACAGTCCCTCAATAAGGAGATTCTGAGAAACGAAGCGATTAACATCTCAAAGGCAGAAAATAATATAAATACCATAAAAATGCTCGGAAACCATGATGTCATGTCTACAAAACAAGTGGAAAATAGGAAAAAAGCAGCTGGTTTCTGTCTTTCTTTCATTCAGAAGCATGAAACCTTTCTCAGGCACCCCGTTTGGGGTAGGGCCACCCTCGGCCGAGTTTATCGTGGACAAACCACCGCAGCACCACGTACCTCGCACAACAGCAGGTCGATGATGTGGAAGACCATGTAGAGAGGAAATTTAGCTGTAAAAAGGGTGAGGAACCACTGGGAGGCATACATGTGAGCTTCTAAACTGATATCTAGGAAGTGGTTGTAGAGGTCAGGAATGTACTCCTGAAAGGGAAACGGAAGAGAGAGAGAGGGGCCTTCCATCTTTGGTCCTGAAAAACAGCTTAATGCCTTACTGAAATATTCTCTTCTCTGGAAGAAGCCGAGTAAGATGGAAGCCTGGAGGAGTTTCTGAACAAGGGAGATTAACTGTAGTCCTTGATTAGCTGTAATGGGCCACACTTCTAAAGCAGGTGATAAATCCAAAAGGCCCGGACCTTCCTCCCTCAAACACCCTCGCTGCCAAGCTCCACGGAGATGCTGACAGATTAACCCTGGGGCTCTCCGTGGCTAAACTCTCCTCTTTAAAATGGCAATTTGAGGATTCGCAGCAGGCTTCAGTCAGTGGTTCTTGAGCTGTCTGATCCAATTACCCCTTTTCCCAATCTCGAATAATGTCATTCACCAACACCACCGCCCCACAAAAAAAACCCCGTCTGTTGTTTTATACAAACATCTCAGCAGCAGCAGATCCAGACTGGATCCTTGACTCACAAATAGTCATTATCAACTGCTCCATTGTCTCCAGGATACGCCCAAATAACCCCTTTTATCTTTGTGATATCCCTGGCAAATCTTAGATGTTTGGCGAAGATGCTTTCATTTCAAAGGCCTTGGGCTGGTTGGAATTTTATTTTTTAATGTCTGTCCCCAGAATCTCTTTATCGTTGGTTGAACAGCGTTTAGGCTGTCCTTGGCTGTTTTCTACTAGAAGAGTAAAAGTACTTAGAAATAAATGGACGAAGATTCTGTTGAGACGCCCGGGGTTCACAGTTAAAGGAAAACCCTACGCAAAGCTGCTCGCCAGCCACAGAAAATGCCCAGCTACGAGGATGGCAAGGCAATCTTTGGAGGAGCCACTGGGATTAACAGCGATGCCAGCGTTTGCTTGCACCCTCCTCTCTGGTAAACCCAGGCGGCCCCTTCAAGGGGAGACGTGGCCGCGTCAGCCTTACCTGCATGAGGCGTTCCAGCTGATAAAACTTGCAGTGCAAGTCCTCAAAATTCTGTTTGAAAAGTTCCCTGAGTCCATAGTCGAACATGATTTTGACCAGAACACTGAAGGCCTGTTCTTCAGGCATCTGTCAAAAAATGGAGAACAAAAGCTGCTGTCACATATTTTTAAACAAACAGGCCCCAAATCTAAACATCGATCTGTAACTGCTCCCTTTGGCCCTTCCTGCCAGCAGCCGAGTCAACCCGCTCGACTCCCCGTTGGCTGGAGTCAGCCCAGCAAAGAGAGCAAGAGCTCATCCGTGGCTGGAAGGAGAAGACACGATGGCCGAGGGGCTGCCCACAAACGTGCCGAGCAGACCAAGAGCCATGCTGACTGGGAAGAATCTGCTTTTCTCCTTGCCAGTCACAGCCGCCTCCTTTTATCACATCCCAACGCTTCTGCTTTCTTCTCCCAGAAGAAGACAGTCGGACACTGTGGACTGGTCCAGGGAGGGGAACTGGCTGGTCAACAGGGGAAACCACAGCTGGCCATCTTGGCTGAAATGCAGGCCAAGGAGCCATCTCCAAACCTAGCTTATTTTGCCGGGCAGGAATGCACAGCTACACAGGCCCCCAAAAGGTTGGGTGCAGCCAAAGCCCTCCAATGTTTCCACCAAGGTGATGTTTTTATAGGACAGAAGATGTAAATTATTACCTAGAGAGAGCATTTTGTTAACTTAATAAAGGTTATTTAAAATATTTGGGGCTCCTGGCATGTCACTCAAGACACAGGGTTGCCATTGGCTGGAAAAAAAATTGGGCAGCCTTTCTTCAGACTTTGGCATCCAGAGATTTATTCGCACATGCATCGAGTGCGGATTCCAGCTTGAATCAAGGGATCAGCTTCTGTCAAAAAGCCCAAGGAAGCCTTAATGAAGACCCCTGTGCTGGCCTGGAGACCAACAGGCATTGCTGTGCAACCATTGGGTCTTGAGAAGAAGCAGCGTCGAAGACCTGCCTTCTTTCCAGAGCAGCTTTAAAGGGGTTCCGAGACCCAAAATCTCTTCTGTTTTTCAAACTGGCTGCGGAACCTGCCTTTGCCTCTAGTGAGCTGAGCTGTGCAAAGTCCATGGCGGTCTTCCAGTCCCTCAAGTTCTGCATGTGTTTGGAATAACTTGACGTATCCTTCTTGGGGTTAGAGCAAGAGAAAATAATGTGCTTCTGTCAATCCAGCAGGAAGTCTGGTTTTTCACAGAAGCAGTGGGTCTCTTTATATTTAGCTGTCAAGGATGGTAGGGCCATCCTTCAAAAGAGCTGAAGGATGAGGAATTTAAAAGAAAAAGAAAAGAAGGTCATCGATCTGGGTGACGAATGAGCCGGAAGCTCTGGGAAGCGTCATCTGGTATCTGACAGCAGAGACAGGAGGGCGTTGGGGGGGGGGGAATCCACCCAACTCTGTGAAACCATTTAAAAATGACTTTGCAAAGGCAGGGGAAAAAGCTCAGGAATCCAATGGAAACACAGCGCCAAATGCCTGCCCTCTGTGTGCAGGAAGGGACCGGACATCCTTTCCAGGGGGAGAGGCTCTTGACAGACCCACTTGAAGAGAAATTCCAGGCTGGCCCCACGCGAAGGGTTCAACCCAGAGGAGGCATTTCAGGTGCAACAGAGGAAATCTGACCCCTTGGCACATGTGATGTGCGCGTACACGTAACTTCCATCCATTCAACATCCGTTAACAGGAGGGACGGTCACCCTTGTTCTCCGTTCCCTGGCATCTGACACTACCTCTTGGTCTCCCTTGTTAGCTGCCCCGAGGACAGCCTCCGCAGGAGGCCTCCTCCAAAGCCAACTTCTTTGGAGAGGGTCGGGGGGGTGGGAACTGGTCTGCCAGCCTTTTTTCAAGACAGACTTTTTTCCTTTTGGGGGGGACTGCCTCCAATTATTAATCAAGATTCAAAATGGTACAAAAGGAAGGAACGAGGCGCTAAATTGCTGTCCTGCTCTTAATTATGCAAAAATCAGCAGAATCACCTTAAACTTCTTTCTGTCTGCGCCGTGAAGGAAAGATTCAGAAGCAGCCCTACTAATCGAATCAAAAGGAAATTTTAAAAATAAGTTGTTGCAAGGAAGGCCAACCTCTGGACTTGCAACAGACAAGCAGCAATGCACAACAGGAAAGTCCTGCCACCCACCTTTGAGCAAGCTGGGTTCGTCTGTTATTTTTCCTGGAATTTGGCGTGGAGCTTTGTCTGGTTTTCCCCCTGCTTGTTTTTAAAGACCCCGTTAAGCTTGTTTTAGGGCTTTGGCTGCAATCTTGTGCAAACTGGCAGAGAAGCACTGTCACGCTGGGGCACTCCTGCCTGCTGGTTTCCCTACACCCCAGTTCAGGGTTCAAGGGGCCTCTTCTCAAAGCAGTCCTGGAGGTGTCCCTGGAAGGCAAGTCTCCCCCCTGTACATGAAGGGGTCCTTGTCAAAGAGCTAAGAGGGACTCACGTGTAGAAGCAGCACAGCAGCCAGGAAAGACTGCCCTTGGCAATAGCCGATCTCTTCGTCGTAGACAGAATAGGCCTGGGAACGGAATGGGGAAACGTCCGTGATTCTGCTAGGCCAGGGGTCTGTGACTTGACTCAGTTGAGGAAGAGGAAGGGGTTCTCAGGAAGCCAGGCTCTGGCCTTGAATCCCGCTTGGCAGTCAGCCTTCACCAGGGCAGGAAGGTGGGCACCATCAGCCCTGCCCACGAGGCTCTGAGCCTCTCACCCAATGCCCGCTTCCAAAAAAAGGCTCTGCCACTTTATGCGGAGACATGAACCCCACGCAAAGCTTTTACACTATTCAGCCTTTGATTGGAATATGAATTAAACACGAAGAACAGGGGAAGAGATGGCTGGGGAGCGGCTTCCTGGGCAGGGCTCCTCTTTTTTAATGGCACATTTTGACAGGGTGCTTCGGGGGAGGCCAGGAAGCCAAGCTGCCCCCAATCTCTGGCGAAGGCAGAGGAGACAGCTTTCTAAATGCCAGATTCAAAGAGCTGGAGAGACCCTCCCATCAACAAGGGAAAGCTATCAAAAGAGAACCCAGCCTGGCTTTTTACCTGTTAATTACCTCCCGCATTTTATCAACCAGCTTCTGCCTTATAATGCAAACGAGGGACTGAATATTTATCTCTGGGGATGGAGGGAGGCACCCCAGCAACAGCTGAGCTCTTCCAGAAGCCCCTTTCTGTGGCAGCCTCTCGACAGGTCAAAACCCAGACCCCAACGCCCTGGCCAAGCTGGCTGGGGATTCTGGGAACTGCAGTCCAAGACACCTGGAAGGGGCCAGACTGAGGGGCCGGGTTAGCAGGCCCCAGATTAGCAGTCCCCACTTTTGTACGAGTCTCTCCGACCTCCACCCCACTAGGCTGTCCCTGAACCCCAAGCCGTGCAGACGAAGCGTGCCATTCCCAAAGGTGGTACCTTGCATATTTTATACAAGGAGTCCTGGCCGTCTCCCCCGGTATCCTTGAAGTAATCGTGGGCAGGGAACGTTCGGTTGATGTCGCGGGTGATGGCGCTGTCCTGGGGAGACTCCTGCAAAGCCGGGGGGGAGAAGGAGAAAGGGGAGACGGTTGTGAACAACCTGAAGGCCTGAGGATCCTGCAAACTCTGCTCCCAACAAGGGCACACGATCCTCATCCGAGGTTTAAGACAGCACAGGCACCGGGGTGCGCAGACGTGAAGGCCCGTAAACCATCCTGGCTCCTTCCTACCTGGCGGAGAAGCGACTCTGCAGGGCCTGTTCAGAAGGAAAGGGGGGAAAAAACACATACGCCCCTCCCCACTTTTCGCCCTGCAATATGGCTTAGCCAGGGCTGGGGAGAGGGACGTACTGATCTCCCCCCACTTCAAAAGGCTGGCCAAGACAAGCATTCAGCAAGGAAGGAAGGAAGGGCAGCTCTTGATACCTGGGATGTCGGGCGCGATGTGGGGGGAGAAGGGAAACAAGGTGTTCGCGCCACTGTTGAGCCAGCTCCACTCCCGACGACTCAGGAAAAGGAACATGGACGGACCTTCTCTCCCCCACCCCAAAGAACGCCCCACCGTTGGCAGCCGGGTTGGAAGACCTGCCAGCCACTGCCTTGCTGGTTCCAGAAGTCCCACGCCCAAGGTTATAAGCCACCAAAGCCTCGAGGGAGCAGGAAGGAGCTGAGCAAAATTTGGGGCCGGGAGGGAGGGAGCACCTTGCACTTTAGAATTGCTCCACGCAGCTCCCGTGACGGCAGCTCTCGCAAGCAGAACTTCCTTAGTCAGCATGACCTGATCCTTTTAGCCCCCGAAGGCTGACTTGGAGACCTCCCCCATGGGAAGCCGACGCTCCGCTCCTGAGCAGGGAGAGTCACCCCTTCAAAGCAGCAGAGGCGGACATGCCCCCCTCTCAGCAGGGCTCCCTGCCTGATCAGGTGATGAAACCTCCCCAAACCTCACTGTGTTTTTCTTTTTGCAGCATCCGCCGCTGAACCGTCACACGTGGCGGCTTCCACTGGGCAGAGAGACTCCACAGCTATGAACCAGACCCACCAGTGTGGGGCGAGAACGCCAAACGCCCACCAAATCAAACGTCGACCTTTTGAGTGACCCAGGACAAGGATGGAAAGGTGAGTTGGAACATCTACCCTTGCAGCGCGGAGGCACAACACAGCATTGCCTTCGTCGGGTACGCGGTAGCCTTAGGAACGGGCATCAGGGCTCCGATGCCATCCCCCAACGTTCTCGCTACTGGAGCACTGTTTGGTGGCAGGGGAAAGTGTCCGGAAATGATAAACTTTAAAAAAAAGCCAGCCTGGATTTAGTAGTACAAACAAGCGCAGCCCAGCCATTGTGTGAGGAGGAATCCTATTTTTATACCTTGCTGGGAGAACGGGCCCGCCAGACCAGCTCAGGTTTCCGGGGCTGAAGTGGGGGAGAAATGGAAAGCAAAGCTCTTGGAAACGCACTCCTTGGTGCAATCTGGGATGCAAAAGAGAAAGGGCAGGAAAAGAGAGGGAAGGAGAAAAAGCAGGAGTGGGCGCTGGCTGGGAGAGCGGAGGCAGCCAGCAATACAGAATAATCCCCAGTATGATTTCTGGTTGAGAGAACAGAGGGAGGAAAACCAGTGGTTTCCAGCAGGAACTGGACGCTTGCAATAAGGAGCCAATCTGGGCTCTTGGCTGAACAGAGGCCTCCTCCTCCTGCCCTGAAATTTTCAGGGGTAGCTTTCTGAAAATGCAGCTTCTTCTGGGGTTAATTTGCAAGCTCGGTGTTACAGCTAGCTCAGCAAAGCTTACAGGCTTGGCCTAAAAGCAACCCCTAGCGGGTTTTAAAAGCATCTTTTAAAATGAGATGCCGAAGTCCAAAATACCAGGAGAGTATCCGGTTGGGAAAGAGATTAAGCAAAAAACTCTCCCCTGGGGGTTTAATCCATTGCAACCGTCTTGTAGCATCCGAAGGTTGAACCTGTTTATCCCAGCCTCTAACGAAGTGGTACAGATGACAAAGGGTTATTCCATGATGAAATTATTAGCCCTTACAGTGATACAGGACCCTGTTGTCAATCAAGGAAGTGTTTCTTCCTCCTGGCTGGGAGTACGTGGCCCTGCCAAGTATGACGCCTGGGAATTCAGAGATTTCATCTCGCAAAGCTCAAGCCCCTCTCCTCTCTTGCGCCTTAAGAACTATACACAGGAAATTTAGTATTCTTAAGCCACGGAATTAGTCACAGTGAAAGAAATGTTCGCCAACGACAACCCTTTCACCCACGTTCCGCTGAATACACCCAACAAAAGTGAGAGCAGGTGGGACGGACCAGCCAGGCGGTGTTGGAAACAATAAAGTCACAATATGACATTGTTTCAGGCCAAATATGGCAATAAATCCCGTTCTAAAAATAAGAGTAAATCCCCAAGTGATACCCAGCCTCTTCAGCTGTGCTTAGTTCCTTTTAGGGCTCAAGTTTCCCACAAGAAAAATCAGAAAGAGGCACTTTGCAGAAAGCCCTCCTGCCTTGCGTGCGGATCTTAACGCTGCTTTGAAAGAAAATGGGCGCCGGGGCCCGAGAAAGCGTGGCCGCGAGGTGTCGGGGGGGGAGTGAGAAAGGTGGAAGGTCAAACAGATAAATGCAGCATGGGCAAGTCACCCCCCAGAATGCTCCAGCCTCCGTTCGGGGCGCACAGAGCCAAGGGACCCAAAAACAGAAATATGCAGGCAGGGGGAGAAAAGAAAGGAAGGGCCAACGCTTTTAAGTCAAGGGGGCACGCAGGGAAAGGGAAACTCCCACAAACAAAATGCAACCGAGGAATGAAAAAATGGAGCCACCCCTGGGTGGGACGGCCTGTCCTTGGAACGAAGGGCCCGGGGCCCTGGTCTCCGGTTCTGCTTTGCACCAGCGCCAGCCGTCCGCCCACATCCATTGGGGGCTTCTTTCGACTCAAGTCAGCTCCAAGAACCGAGTGAGGGGTTGGGGTGCAGTGGCCGAGGGTCCCTTGTCTGGGGCTCCGGGGGAGGCAAAGGGCGCCTGGATAAGGAAAGGCCTGGGAAATGCCCTCGGGGATGGCCAGGTGCGCCAGGGCTGAGTCTCAGCCATAAAGGATTCCCCTCTCCGCGCTCAGCAACTCTCCCTCCCTGCCCTCGGTGGCCTCTAATGGGGGGCAAACTGGGGCCCCTCCGGGTGTCGGGAGCTGCCCCATCCTCACCAGCCCCTAGAGAGGGAGCTCCAGACCCACTTCTTGCTCTGACACAGAGCGGGATGGGAGCAGCTCTTTAAAACATCCGATCTTCCGGCTGAAGAGGTGACTGACCTCCAGCAAGGCGTGAGCTATGAGCTATTCCGTGGACCCTTGGCATAAAAGCCAATTATTTGGTGAGTTTGGGAAAGGGAGTTTGCCAGAACAGGCATTATGGAAGTCATTAGGTTTTTGCTCTCTCACCTGGCCCCCCTCCCCTCCCCTCCCCTCCCCTCCGGTTTACAGGTGGGGCACGCAGTCTAAAAATAGATAAAAATGCCATATGCAGCAAAGTTTGAAGAGTAAACAGCAATAATAACTACAACAACGTGTTCCTTGGGTTAAACAGCATCCTTTGCATCTTGGACCTACCAAGACATTTACGCGTTACTCCTGGATTTTCCTTAACGGTACGGCCTGAAAAGTATAAACGTATAAACAGCAGTTTAGCTACGTTCTTCTTCAGCTACCGTCTTGTGGCAACAGCAACCATACCTGTTTCTTCCACCCGTAAAGAACACGCACGCAATACTAAATTACACATAATCTGGCCCAACAACTAAAACATGGAAGTGCACCCATAAGTCAGGGCCCCAGGCCTTCCTTGCTCCTGAGAAGGCCCTGGGTGAAGCCGCTGCGTCCTTTCCCTGGGGTCTTGGCACCTTTTCTGCCACGAGCACGTAAGTAGCCCAGTATGGGGATTCCTTTAAGGAAGGACAGGAGGGGAAAGGCTGCAGTGGAAAGATGGAAAGGGGGGAGGGAACCTACGGAGCCCCTCTCTCGGTTGTCCCTCCCAAATGTAGGGCTAAGCGCTCTTTTCTTGTGGCCCAGACGGAACGCCGGAGCGCTTGAAGCCAAACGTTTCAAGCCGTGCACCTAGCGAGAATCCCACATGCTACCAGAGAGCCCGGCCGTTCCTGACCTGAAACAGCCGTGCAGGCATTCAGCACTTGCGGACGTCTCCGCCAAGCAAAACACACAAGTACTTTTGGGGACAAAGCACCAGATCCTTTCCTGCCAATAAGAGCGGGTGGCATTTAAGAGAAGTCTCCAGGGTGCTGTGAACTGGGGGTGGGGGGGGGATAAAGCTGATATTTGCTTTTACCCTGAAACCTTCCAATTCCTACTAGCTGGACGTCGAGAGGCAGCAAAAATCAGCAATGTACAATTATTGTCAGCGGCTCAAAGGCGTCTACGTGTAGAAGTTCCTACTCTATAAATACACAAATTAGGTTTATTTTTCTTGCTTTTGCCCTTTCGCTTGAACCAACACAGTGAAGAGATGTCCCTCTTGGAATAAAGATGATGATAGATGGTCAAAATTGTTTCCCCACCTTCTGCCCAGAAGAATAGCTCTGCTTTTTATTCTCCCTGAAATAGATAAACTTACAGGTTAAAAAAAAAAATGCTGGATTCTCAAGCTGTCATGACACGTACAAAACAGCACACCCCGGATTGCATGGGTTATTCTTTTGCACCACTAAATATTGCTGGCTTTAAATATGCACCAATCCTTGTTAACCTCTCCCCCCCCGCAAAAAACCACATACACATTTCGAGACCCGTATCTGAGGCTGCCGTTTATAGTTCCAGCCATTTGGTCTGTTCCCCAAGCGTTGATTCGCTGCATTCCCCGTACAAACCACCACCAGCCCCCAACCCCATGTCTTCTCCCTCTGCCTTCGCTCTGGATCAGCCTGGCCTTAAGTCAGAAGCTGCTGTGTATTTGGGGATTCTGCCCCAGTTCCAGCCTCTGAAACTCACAGGGACTTTCTGGCCTCGCTTGCAGAAGCTTCGATTTCCCCGCCACCCCCCCACCAAGGGAGCATCGCCACAGCTGAGAGAGTTATACCCCGAACTTGAAGCCGGCCCGCTGGGTATCTGCACTTCCCACAAAAAGGTTGAGATGCTATTGCTTATTTCTTGGAATACTAATCAATCAATCAATCAATCAATCAATCAAGCCCAAGTTACATCAGCCTCTCCTGGCCCGTGCTGGTTTTAACACGGGTACGCTGCAGATGGGAGTCACTCTTGGACCTTAAGGGGTCCTCCCAGCTCCGTGTCTCTGCTCTGCCCAGCAAGGCAGCCAGGAGAGTTAACAGGGATATTCGGAAGCCTCCAGATCCAGAAGCAGGGAGAGTGTTCCTCCCGTGCCTGCGGTAAGCACAGGCTAACCTCATGGGTTAAAGGAGCCCTGGATCGTGCCAATATCCAGGCTAAAAAAGCGCAACTGATGTGTTCATGTAACAGGCAGACAAACAAGGTTAAGGCTGAGTTAATGCAAGATGCAAAGACAGAAACTGGGTTCCCAACAATAGGACGAAACCATGCATTTCACAGCACCGTTACAGGTAGTCCTCGACTTAGAACCACAATAGGGATCAGAACATTTGTTGTTAAGTGGTGCAGCCATTAAGCGAGGCATCACGTGACCACACCCAATTTTACATTTTTTGTGGCGGTCATTAAGTGAATCATGCGGTTTCCCCATTGATTTTGCTTGTCAGAAGCCAGCTGGGAAGGTCGCAAATGGCGATCGGGTGACCCCAGGATGCTGCAACCATCATAAATACATGCCAGCTGCCAAACGCCTGGATTTTGATCACATGACTGCGGGGACGCTGTGATGGTCACAAGTGCAAGGACTGGTCGTAAGTCACTTTTTTTAGTGGTGTCATAACTTCAAATGGTCACTAAACAAATGGTCATAAGTTGAGAACTACCTGTAATCTAGAATGTTATGTGAACCTGGCCATTATGTGGTTTCTCCATGACCCTGGTCCAGCCCGCTGCCACCTTCACAGCCATGTAAAGTTTCTTACCCCCAGCCAAACCGAAGTTTCCGTTCCTCCTCGCGACAAAAGGACAATCGCCCATCTCACGATAATATAGTATGAGATACATGGGGAAATTGTCAACAACCATGTGAATTAACGCTCATTGGTAAACAAATAAATTTTAAAAATCTATCCTTTTTGCAGAGAGGATCACCCAGCAAATGCTTCGAAAATGACTAGCAAAATCTTAGTAGCTGGCCTGCAGATGCGGCGGGGAGGGGGGTGACACTAAGTTTGCTCGCGGCCAGGGGAGGGAACTTCCAGAGTTGGCCCTCAAAATGTCAAGTTAAAAAAAAGAAAGAAAAAAAGAAGCCTTATTTAAACTGAAACTCCTGTTTGGCACGGCATCCTGTTTCCAACAATGGGCAGGCAAAAAAAAAAAAAAAAAAAAGCCCACAGTCAGGTCGTGAGAACAGTTGCTTCCCCGCAGCAATCGGTATTCAAAGGTAGGCTGCCTCTCTGCACAGCAGTTCCATACAACCCGAAGGACTAGCAGCCACGAATAGCTTTGCCTTCCCCTCTGTGCACTTCTCTAAGCTTCAGCCATTCCTGCATCTGCCCTCTCTTAGCCAGACCCAGGGTCAATTCTTCTGCCCCAGAACTGGGCCAGCTTTCCTCCAGACCAAAAGTTGGCGTTTTACAAAGATACGGCTAGGTTGATTAGCCCCAGCAACGTGGTCTGAGTACAAAATACACTTCCCCCCAACGCAGGCCGTCCCTAAGAAGCATCCTCCTAGAACGTGAATCAGGTTGGACACCTTGCTGCAAGAAGTGGGCAGGTAAGTGCAGCCCCTTCTCTCTGCATTTCAAAACGTGGAGGCGCCTGAGGCATTTTCAACAGACCTCAAACTTCCAAGGCCTCGATCAGGACCTCAGCATAAACACCTCCTCATTCAGCTTTTCAGAAACCCTTTCTCCCTCCTTTCCCTATTAAAGCAATCGGTAATTTAGAAATCTGCTTTTTAAAGAGAATTTGTTTTGAGAAACTTCCTCAAAACAAAAAAACAAGCTGGTGACATCGTTTCCAAACCATCCTGTGGAATGCATGACCACATCCCCAAGCTGTTGCCTACAAAATCCAAATCAAGGAAAGGACAAAATAAATATTTTTTTCTCCGCTTACTTAAAAAAAAAAAAAAAAAAAAAAAAGGAAACACTTTATTCGTCTTCTAATTTGGTCTGCTCCAAAGTCATCTGTTTACTACACAGACATTTCATTTTTTAAGAAAAATGCAAATACGGTACTTTAAATCACAAATGAACAACCTGGGGAGACAGAGGTGGCAAAAAGGGGACGGGGAGGAGGAATAACCACGGTTATAAAAAGCCTAGAGAGAAAAGGGCACCGCTGGCTCACGGCACGCTGGAATCCAACGTTCAAGTGTTGACATTATTGGCTACAGGCGTAAGGGGGGAAACAGGGTGGGGGTGGGGGGTAGGAAGAGGGACAATCATCATTTGGACCCATAAGATTTTGAAATATACTTTGGCATATGCACGGACAAATCAAAGAATACACTATTAAACCATTTACACACTCCCGCACTGACACACAGAGCACAGATCTCCAAACACCAGAGCAAAGTGGTAAGGAAGAACACAAGGGTCTTTTGCTGGCACTGTAGTACATCCCGTGTCACTCCACGGAGGAGACCCTCCTGGTCAAAACGGACACTCCCCGCTTCCCACCAGGACCTTTCTAAAGCGAAACACGGAAACCGACAGCACGTGCTGGTGGAAATCCTCAGTCCTTCTGAGATCAGCAGCGTTTCTGTCTGTCTCTCTTTTTGCAAGTCTGGACGTCTTTTAATGGGCTGAGTTTGTGGGAACAACCTGCGCGTCAGGCGTGACACCCGTTGGAAGGTCTTTTGCTCCGGGAGGCAGAGGAGTCCTTGGCTGCCCGGTGCCTGGCGCACGGCGTGCAAAGGGCGCCCGAGAGGTGCTTCAACCCCTTCTGAAAGACACTGTTGGACAAGCTGTAGATGACACAGTTGCAAAAGCTATTGCTGATGGCCAGCCAGGTGGTCAAGAAGGAGGCCAGGCGGTTGTGGTAAACAGAGGAGCTCTCCAGGAGAAAGTAGATGATGTAGGGAAGCCACAGGATGTAGAAGACGCTGGTGATGCGCAGGAGGACCATGGCGTAGCGCTTGTCCGGGCAAGGCTGGGCCTCGGCCGCCTCCCCCTCCTGGGAACTGAAGCGCACCCGCCGCTCGTTGATCTCCCTGGTGTGCTGCTGACAGATGCGGAAGATGCTGAAGTAAGTGAAGCAGACGACGAAGGCGGCCGGCGCGTACAGCATGACCACGATGAACAGAGTGAAGATGGCCCGGGTGTCCCAGAAGTCGGCGCACCACTGGAAGATGTCTCCGTGGTAGCCAGGCTTCCCCCACTCGAAGAAGGCGGGCAGGAAGACGGCGCCCGAGTACAGCCAGAGCAGCAGGATGCAGGCGCGGAGGCGGCAGGGGGTGACCAGGGTGCTGTAGGTGAGGGGCTTGGTGATGGCGATGTAGCGGTCGAGGCTGATGCACGCCAGCGAGGTCATGGAGACGCTCTTCAGCACCGAGACGACGTAGCCAAAGACCTTGCAGACCAGGGACTCGGGCAGGAAGGCGACCGGGTAGTGCAGGAGGGAGAGCGAGGGCACCAGGCAACTCACCCCAACCAGCAGGTCGGCGTAGGCCATGGTCTGGATGAAGTAGCTGGTGGTGTGGTGGTTCAGCAGCGGCGCGCAGTGGAAGACGAAGATGACGACCAGGTTGCCCGAGATGATGAGGACGGTGAGGAAGACGACGACAATCACTTCCAGCAGGCAGACGTCCAGGCTGTCCGGGTAGCCGGCGGCCAGGAGGCAGAAGGGCCTCCCGCCACCGCCGCTCCCATTGCCGGGGCTGCCGCCGTCCAGGGAGGCGTTCATCTTGCAATGGCGCCCACAGCCCCCTCACGCCGGCGGCTGCTGCCCGGCTGCTGCAGTGGCTGTCATTGCGGCGGCTTCTGCGTGCGCGGCTGCTCCGGAGAAGGCGAGGAGGAGTGTGGCGGGCGCCCGGGCATTGTCCGCAATGCTCCCTCTCGGCTTCCCGGTTC